TGATCATCGATATTTCTAGTTTTTATTGGGAATACTACGTTGGCAGGAAGGGAATCCTGTTACTTCCTTGTTATCCCAATGCAGCGCCCTTGTACCCCTCTCAAACATCAGTGAATATTTTGATGCAGAGATTCCATCAAATTCAATGAAGAAATGTCATCTAGGAAAACCTCAAGGGGCATCTCACTTCCATGGCTGCTCCAATACTTCCAAAAATTGCTGCAATTATCCATCAGGTTTCTCTAAATCAAAACAATCTAAAAAATTATCCCCTGTCCTAATACATCTTTAAGATCTAATAAAGTTGTGTATTTGAACACAGCAAAGACAAAAATTCATTTCATATATTTATATGGATGGGAAGACATTTTCATTGAGGGAAAAGAGATATCTAGTAGAAGAGAGTTTCAGTAGATAAAACACTTGAAGGTATAAAAAAACGAATCATTTCTCTAATATCACAGGAACTTTTTATGAACTCTCAACTCTAACTTCTAGGTTCTACTTTGCTAAATATCAAATTTTATGGCTCTAGAAGCAAAAAATTAAAGCCTGGCATAATTATAAGCAACTGAAACACAGTAGAGTTTTGACAGAGAAAAATAAACAATTTCTGGCCTCTTTTCTGTTTTTTTGAGGAACAAATTTTGACCATACAAATAAAACAATCCTATGTGCTGTTTTATTTATGATTAGGTTAAGCAGACGTTAGGAAACTGGTGTGCTTACCAACCAGATAAATGACCATAGTCTCAGAAAAATAACATACTAGAAAATGGACACACTAGAGATATAGATGCTTATTCGATTGTTAAAAATGTCTCCTATATTCCAAGATCCAACATATGAAACTAGAGAATGTGTGATTGCAAGAAAAAGATATAATGAAGCCCAACTTTTATGAGATTTTGGTTTTTAAATAAATTATCTTCCATCAAAGAATGTGATGGGTTTTATAAATGCAGGCAGGCTGAAAGACTCATTTACACGATATAACCAGGAATTGTGACCAAGAATAAAATAAAAATTCAATCTTCTTCAACTTTAGGTCCCTAATGGCTATTAACGTAATATTGGTGATATCTTTCCAGCTTATTCCCTTTAAAACTCAATTCCAACAATTTGCTGATCCCACTGGAACCTCCAATTTAACTTAGTTCCCTGTTCCCCATCCTCTGATGTCCTCCCCTCTCCTTACCATCCTTAAACTTTATGGTGAACACTCCCTTGCATACTTCCTTGACTCTTTGGCTCCTTTGTTTTACTTCTTTGACAAACCACTCCTTGGTCAATTGTTACTGTTTCATCTACTTTCACCTGTAAGATTGAATGTGACTGGAAAAAACCCATCACCATCTGACTCATCTCACTTTATGACCATGGGTATAAGTAGACACTAATACCATCTCACAACCATTCTGAACTTACTCTCCCACTCTCACAAATACTATATCATATCTTCTTCCTATCTCTTGCCTCCTCAAGATATTTTCTCTAACTGTTCTCTCCTCTTATCTACATCATAAATGTTACACTCTATTGGGACATACGCATCATTATAAAAACATGCTATTTCTTCTATCTTAAAAAAAAGAACTCTTCATTCCACTTCTCATGTTAGCTACTAACTCCCAACCCCATTTCTTTGGTCCAGGTGGAGCAAAACTTTGTGAAAAATTACCTGTACTCTCTGTCTCAAATTCTTCTCCCTTCTCCCTACTACTCTTCGGAAGTGCTGTTGCCACAGTCACCAATAGCCTCCACATTGCTAACCCAATGCCGTTCTCAGCTCTCATCTGATTTCACCAATCAGCAGCTTTGAAAACATTGTCATGCCCTCCTCTTTGCTCCTTTTTTTCACTTCACTTGCAGGATGTGACAGATCTTGTCCCCCCCCCCCCCCTTTATTACTTCTCCTCTCCTTTGAAAGCATTCTCTTCTCTTCAGTCTCTTCATGCGGTAGTGCCCTAGTGTGAGACCTCCACCCTCTTCTCTTCCTGTGGTGGCCTCAGCCATCTCATATGGCTTTAAAAACCATCCATATGCCAAAGGTACATTAAGCTATATTTCCAGTTCTATGCCTCTTCCCAACTCCAGATGAGTGTGTACAAATGTTTAATTGATATTTACTCCTGTAAGCAACACAGTTCTCTCCAACCCAGCAGGTCCACACTCAACTCCAGAATTTTCCACCCAACACTTGTTTCCTTGCATATTATCTCCAGTGATGAAAACTACATTCTTCTAGTGGCTTTGGCTAAGACCTTAGAGTCACCTCAGAGCCTTTTTTCAAACGCCAGACTGCCCATCTGTCAGCACACTGTGTAGGATATTTCTTCAACTACCTCTGACCATATTTATTGCCACCACCTTTGATGAAGCCATCACTTCTCACCTGGGTTATTGCTGTAGCCTCTTCTCCCTGTGTCAGCTCTTGGTCCCCTACTGTCTAGTCTCAACACAGCAGTTAGAGTACACATTCCTTTTTATGACTGAGTCAGGTAGATCCTCATTTCATTCAGAGAAAATGTCACAGGTCCCATATGATCTCTTTTGCCGCTACTCTTCCCCTAGCTCACTTTTCCAGTCATCCTTGCCTCTCCATTGTTTCTTAAAACAACCAGGTGCATTCTTGTCTTGAGACATTTTTACCGAGCTCTCCCTTCTGTAACTGTCTTCTCCTAGATCAGGGGTTCTCAAAGTGTGGTTCCCAAGTCAGCAGCAGCGGCATCACCTGGGAACTTTGTAGAATTGCAAATCCTCAGGCCTCACTGAAGATCTATTGAATCACGAACTCCAGTAATTTGTGTTTTAACAAGCCTTCCAGGTGATGCTGTTGTTACTTGCTAAAGTTCAGAACCACTGTCCTAGACATCTACACAGTAACTTCCTCACTTCCTTCGAGTCTTTCCTCAAACATCACCTTCTGAATGAGACCTATTTAAAATTGTACTCTTTACTCCTCCCATAAAACTCCATATTTTGAACTCTGCCCTCTTTTTCCCCTTTTCCATCACCCATCTCATCTTCTAAAATACTATACAATTTACATTTTGACCATGTTATTATCTCACTCTCACAAGACTATAAGCTCTCTGAGGGTAGTAATCATTTTATATTTCATTAAGTGATCACAAGTGTCTCAAACACAACCTGACATGCATTCATAGCACACTAAATATCTTCTGAATTGAGTGGATGGATAAGTGGAACTTCCTTGGTATAGCCAAAGGAAACAATTATACAAGGAAAGTGCACCTAACTAGTAAGCTAGGAGTCCCCTGAGAGGAGGGGTCTGTGAGCCTGAGTAAATCATTAACAAGCAACATCTCGTTTTACTGTAGGGGTGGACCATAGGATGCACATGTATGTAAACACTGCTGACACTGGGCATGTTTTACAGAGCAAAGGAGCAACCTAAGCATCCTGACTGGTGGTCATTTTCTTTTTCTCTATTATTAGGGAGATATCTTGGCTGAAGTCTGGTTGTGGTTCTATTCATCCAGATGGTAGAAGCACAGCCATGTTAACGTTGCCGAATGCCTCCCATCAGGTGCCATGCTGTTGGGGTGAAAAGGCACTCACTGCCTTACTCCCCTTTCCTAACAACAGCCAGTGCTCCCTGACGGCGGTGGGGAAGCTGCTTCTGTGGTTCTTACCTCCTCCCTGGATTGTGGCGGGAGGGTCACAGTACCCTTTTGCCTTTCTATATCCGAGTATTAAAATGTCCCAAACAAAAGCAAGAAAATTTAGGAAGGGGGGAAAAAACACAATAAAATCACATGTGTTTTTTTTTTTAATCCCCACTATGTTCAGCCCAGAGCTAAGTGTTTTTGTTTGACATTGACAATATGGCCCAAAGTCAATGGTTGATACCATGGTAACATTTACAAGTATATAAACAACAAACACAGAAACCTCTGCTAAAATGTCACTTCCACTACAAATTTATTCTGAAGAAAATGTACAATTTTGAGGAACACTTACTCATAGGAACAATGCCAAGAAACACAGGCCTAAATAAATCAGATCAATTTACTGCCATTTACACACATTCAACACAATATGTTTCTTTACGAATGTCTAATGTTGGCCCTTTTATTGCCTTTAAAATGGTCTCCATGTTAGTCTCTGAAACTGACTAACCTAAGTGAAATGACAACTATATAAATTTTTTTTAAAAAGAACCCCTTTAAACTCTAGCATATAGATGATGGTTACATTAATATCATTCCATACTTTTGGCTCCTGACCATCTGATTGCTTTATTCAAGTACAACAATAAAAACTGCTCAGGGAAATGAAGACACAGCATAGGGATTAGTGTTCTCAGCATGTGATAGTGTATTGGAGTCCTGATGCTTGTTTGCATTTGCTTGGAATAAGTATCAAAGGGACAATTAAGTTCTAAGCTGAAGCTACTATTTGAAATCCCAGAAACGGCTCCCGGGAATAATTTGGCTTTTTTGGCGACAATAGATTTTCTGATGAAGCACACCATTCCCTCTTGAAAAAGACCTGGCACGGCTTCGTACGATAAAATCTGACCAATGCGAGGAACATGATGATCAGTTTGGGAACGGGTGTTTTAATAAAAGAAACATGAAATCGGCTGTGCTTTGGCAGGACATACCCCACACCATCATGCAGGCCGTCCTCCTGGCCCACAGCTGATCCCTATCCCACTGCACTGTGCACGTTCCCACTGACATCACTGACAATGCTGGCACGGAGACGATGACATAACCCAAGAGCAGTCATGTTGCATTCTGCTTTGTTAGAGTCACATGAAAAACAAACCAACTTGCCCACCTCCTGCCTCCCCTCCCCACTCGCCACCCCCTCCCAACCCCCCCCCCCCAAAAAAGCCCTCCTCCGGAATAGATCTGAGGCTCAGCTGAGCTGTTCAATATGTACATTTCTAGGCAAGGGTATAAATAGAGATAAGAACATTGCAATTGTAGAAAGGAAAAGGCAAGTCTTAAAAACAGGGATGCAGTAAAATGTAATAAATGTAAAATAAAGGAGGTGCAAAAAGTGGACTTCGAATTATCCAGATCACAGGTTATTAAAGGTTTTGAATCTGGAGCAATAAAATAGGTCAGCTAGTTCGGGAGGAGATAGCACTGGCCTTTAACTGTATTTTATAAAAAATACCAATGCCCTTGCTGGTTTGGCTCAGTGGATGGAGATTCGGCCAGAGGACTGAACGGTCCCGGGTTCAGTTCGGTCAATGGCAGGTACCTCGGCTGCAGGCTCAATCCACGGCCCTGATCGGGGCGCATGTGGGAGGCAATCAATTGATGTGTCTCTCTCACATTGATGTTTCCTTCTCTCTCCCCCTTCCTTCCACTCTAAAAAAAATCAATGGAAAAATATCCTCAGGTGAAGATTAACAACAACAAACAACAACAAAACAGATACCAATGTACTAAGATTCTTACTGTACTGATAATATTGAAGTTTATACATTAATATTACAAACTAGCCTACATTACCCGCATAAATGCTTGATGTGTTCTACAGTTAGCAACTGTGCGTGCTACTTTTATTCTTCCTGTAATCACATCGGTGGTCCCATTAGAAGAGAAGTAAAACCTCGATGGAGACTCTGCCTTTCTGCTCACATCCAAACTCATGTTATAAAACAAAACTGAAAAAAATGTAGAGAGAATTGCAATTAATTTCTAAAAGCATTTATTTTGTTATTTTTGAAGTGATCATAGTCAAAGTTATACAGAATATTGAAAATGTCTTAAATTCTATTCAACAAATAGCTTTTTAAAAACTAACCTGAACTATGAAAGAGGGAACAATTTAAAAATACAAATTACAAAAGTTATTTTTATAAATAAAAAATATAAAAATTTTTCTCTAGGTTTCTTATTTTAACAATATTAAAATCTTTAGTTATTTGCTTAATCCACTTATATGTAAATGTTTCAAAATGGCAGTACCAAATTGTTACTAATAATAAAAGCCCTGAGTAAAGTTTCAAATTTCTTTGGAGTCCTTTTTTGTGCATAGAAAATCTGTCTAAAGAAGTACAGTCAGAGTACTGTGCTCAAATGTCATCTGGAATATTTCTATCTTGTGTGGTTATATAATTAACTTCATATGTTGTTAGGTTCATTTATTTCCATTTGTTTCCAATTTGAGGGGTTGATCTTTTTCTTTTGATTTATTTGTTATTGTTTTTTAATGTAAAGTGAACACATGATTCAAAGTCAAACCTATATAAACAGTGTACTCAAAGATGTCTTCTTTTCCAGCCCTGGGCCCTGGTAAGTCAGCTCCACAATTTTATTGGTTTCTAGTCTGAACTTCTGATTTGTGCAAAAATAAACAAATACAGACAGACATTCTCAATAAATATTTTGGCAGTTCTGGAAGAACTTATTTCAGCGGTCACCAACCTTTCGGACCTCATGGACCACCAGTGGTCTGCAGACCACCGGCTGGTGACGGCTGACTTATTTCAAATCTCACATAGTACACAGTAATCATCTGCTAATGATCTTCAGTAAGCAAAAAAATAAGGAAAATTTACCAGCAACTTTTTTTAAAAAGTCCAAGCCAGATCTTATCAAGAAAGAGCCATTTCTTGAATCTAAAGAGGATCTTTGCAAAACAAGCTGCATCTATAGTTTGTTGAGGTGTTACTCATATAGGAGCAATAATTCGTTAAGTGGTATTTTGAAATTTATGTAACTCCTGAAGTGTTCACTTATATTTTAGGCATAAATAACTCCTCTGAAAGTATTTTATCTATATTTCAGGGAAATCTAAGTATAGAACCTACACTACTCCTACAAATTTCAAATAAATCTGTCAATCTTCCTTTTATTTAGAAAATAAATAATAAAGTCCAAATCAATTGGCTTCAAAATCACAATAACTGAGGTTCAATGCCTTAGAGATATTCAGACAAAAGTAAATGAAGAAAGGGGAATAAAAATCCACTCACAGTAAGAGGCAAAAATGTTTTGGTTTCATTAAACTCTAGTGGCTTGGTGCATGGATTTGTGCACATTGAAAGGAAATTAATTAGAAGAAATATTTTAATATTGCTATTCACCCTTTCTCTATAATAGAAGTGTCAACCAAATTCGCGATTGACAATGACAGATCAAAACAAATGCGTGCAATTGGCGCCAGTGAGAGCTTCATATGTATCACGCATGTGCAAGTCAACTTAGCCTTTTATACCTATAGAATAAACTTGCTTAATTAGAACTTCTTTCTGATGTAGCTAAACTTTTTCCAGCCCAACTTTTTCCAGAAGCACCCCAACTTCTCTTTCAGGTAATTGTCAGCAACACAGCAGTAAAGATCAACACGAAGCAGATTATTATTTTAGACCACGCAAGGAGAACAAAGGGTAAAATAGTTAACTGCAGCAGTGTTTGACTATATCTGTGCAGTGAGAAAAACCGAAGTCATTTTCAAGGTCCACCATTTCTTCTTTTCAGTCAGGTCAAGTTTCTAAGCTTTCCAAATCTTCATTTTCTGGCTAATGAAAAGAAAATATGATTCCACTGAGTCTCCTATCTACCTGCTCTAGGACTTCTGTGAGGATCAAATGAGATGAGGCACAGGAAAACTCTTCACAGACACTTGGTTAAAGTGTGAAATGTTTGCACCTGGCTATAAAGCAAGTCATGTTCCTGGGCTGAAGAAACTGCAAGGAGGCTAGTTGTTGCTAGGGAGATGAAGTCGGGTGTTGCTACGTCACGTCATTACCCGGATGGACACTTAGCATATTAGTCTTTTATATATATAGACTAGAGGCCCGGTGCACAAAATTTTGTGCACTCGGGGGAGATGGGAGGTCCCTCAGCCCGGCCCGTGTCCTCTCGCAGTCTGGGACCCCTCGGGGGATGACCACCTGCTGGCTTAGGCCCGCTCCCCAGGGGATTGGGCCTAAGACAGCAATCAGACATCCCTCTGGCAGCCTGGCCGCCCTCAGCGGATGTCCACTTGCCAGCGGGGAGCAGGCCTAAGCTGCAGTCAGACATCCTTAGTGCTGCTGAGGAGGAAGGACAGGCTCCCCCCACCACC